GCTGCTGCAAGCCCAGCCTCCGCCCGGGCTGGTCCCCCCGTCGCCAGCCCCGCTGCCGGCTATCCCGGTCACCGCCGCCACCGCCGCCGCCGCCCAGGAGCCGCTCCAGAACCACGGACAGCTCCCGCCCTCCTCGCCACAGGCAGCGCCCGAGCCGCCGCCGCTTCAGCACCACGGACAGTTCCTGGCGCAGCCCCCTCCGGGCCCCAGCAGTAGGGCGCACGCACCCCAGTCGCCCCACCAGCACCCGGCGGCGCCAGGGGCCGTCGCCAACAAGGAGAAGGAGCGTTCCCCGAGTTGTTGCGCTGCCGCCGGAACCCTCCTTCAGCACAAATCCCCCGCTGCCCTCGGCAAGGGCGTCCTGAGCAGGAGACCTGAGTGAGTGGGGAAGAGGGGATGCGGACTGTCGTGGTGGGAGAAAGGGGAGCAAATGGGTATGAGGAGGATACAAGGGGGAAATCGGGTGCACCTAAGAGTCTGAAGGACTAAGGTAACGTGGAGTGATGGGGCGAGAAGGTGCTTGGGGGTAGAAGTGTGTCAAGGAGATTTGGGGGAAAGAAGGGAGTGATATCAGTGTTTGAGAGCGTCTGGGGGTTGCTGAAGCAAAAGGGAATATCCATACCATCACTGGGGGGGAAAGAGGAAATAAATTGGGTTTAAGAGATTGGGGATGCTGGAAACTAGCAGTTTTTAATGGGGACAATATTGAGAGGAAGTTGGGTTGAAGATTAAACTGAAGAAAAGAGAACAGTTGGAGAATGTATTTAAGTTAGAAAAATCTTATGAGAGAGTTTGGGTAGTAAAATTATTTGAATGAAGAGTAAGATGAAAAAGACAGAGGCTTGGCAAACAGGCACGTTAAGGGCTTTAAAATGGCTAGGGTCCAGGGAGAGTAGAATTGGGGTCTGAGGAATTCAGGAGGCAGAGGAAGAGGCTGAAAAGCAGAGATGATGTAAAAAGTCAGGGGGGCCTGAAGACAGGAGAAGGTGAAGGGTGGGAGAAAGTATTTCCCAGAGGAACGAGCTGGCTCTTTAATTGATGCAGTGGGAGTCAAAGCCAGGAGTGGCTCATTTAGGGACGCTTGCTCTGCTCTCACCTGAGCGGGTGCCCTTATTATGAGTCCCCACAGAACCAAAAGGGTGCAAGATAACAACCCACCAAGCCAGTGTAGGACCGAGTTATAGCGTGAGACTCAGACCGGTTATAGCTTTCCCTCTGAATCAAGGAAGATTTCTGTGTAGGGTGGTTGGCAGTCGTGGAAAGGGAACAATGAGGGAGAGAGACAGTTGCCAAACGGAGTTGGTATTTGAATGTAATTCCTGTTTAAATCACTCTGTTATGGCTAGTGACTGCCAACTTTGTTTCCCATTAGTTTTTTGGTGATAACTGAAATCTCATGTTGAGTCCTGAGAGAAATATGCCCATTAACCCCCTCATGAGGAACTCTAGGATTTTGAGCTCTTTCTTCACACCCAACATCTATAAACTAGGAATATGGAAAGAAGAGATGAAAGGGGACTGGAATATTCTCTCCTGTGTATTGGGAAAGCTGTGATCATGTCAGCTTCCTTTCTCTGATTAGAGAGGTGATGGGAGAACTGCAGGAAAGAACAGCTCTGGGGAAATCAGCACCTGGTCAGCACCTGACCCTGACAATGATGATGCTAAAGGAGTTGGTTAGGCAGACAAGAGAGGGAGGAGAGCCAAGGATCTCATCTTCATCCAGTCTTGGTGTGCTTTAGGTCTGGGAATACTTGTGGAGATTTTATATATTTCTTAAAAACTCATTTTCTCCTCACATCTATCGTAGAGTTAGAGAAGTTGGGTCAGGACATGTTAGCTAACGGTAGATTTGACCGGAACCATAGGATCTGAGGGGGAAAGATCTAGGATGATTTGAGTTCACAGACCTAAAGAACTTGATTCAAGCCCCAAGAAGATGGGTTTCTTCCCCAGCTCCTTCAGTGGTCCATTTGCCTTCCCTTCAGTTTCACAGCTTTCTTTCCTTATCTAGCGTAAAAAGCAGAAAGTCAGTTTTTCCCTCATGCTCACTGCTTGTCAAAAGGCCCAAGGCACTATGTGGCTTTTTCCCCAAATAGGGGGATAAAAATTATCCCATTCCCTTTCTCTGGGGGCAGCCACAGCTTCCTGATAATGATGGTTCACCTGATTCCTCTCCTCATGTCCTTTGTCGTCTCCTTCTCTTCCACTCTGTCCCTCTTTCTTTGTATCTCTTCAGGATACTATGTGGGCAAGAGAGGTTGAGAAAATATAATTTTTCTTGGATAATAACTTTGCTGTGGCCCCCAAAGTGGCTTAGAGAGCCCAAACTCTGCTGCCCAGATGCTCTTGCTGGGAATTCAGGGATTTAGGAATCATCTGGATTCCATCCAGCCTCATATGGCAAAAACTGGAGAGGAAACATCATTTTTCCTTCTCCCTTGTCCTGCTTCTGCTTCCCAAGAAAGCAGAACAAAAATAAGAAATAATTGGAATGGTGGAAGAGAGTAGATATTGTTGCAAATCTCTCACTTAGGATGTTGTGCTAGACACTAAAGGGTTAATACCACTGCTAGCTCCTTCACTTCTCCAGATCCTCCAGCTTTTTCTCCTGCTCCCCAAGTCTGAAGAGACAGAGACAGAGAGACAGAGAGCTTGGCATGGACATGCATGCCTCACCTCCTCCCTACGGCTCTCTCTTCCCATAGATGTGAAATCATGGGCATGTTGGCTTGCTGAATGCCTTTGGACTACCCATTTCTCCCCACTGTTCTGCCTAACTTCAACCCCCAATTTCCCCTATAGGACCTCAGGAAGGAATCATCTTTGTTGACTACACATTTGACCCCAACCTGCTCTCTACCCATGACCCCCATTTTGTATGCCTGTCCTCCTCTGCCCATACCTCTCAATACTGCAGAGCTAGATGCAGCCAGCAGGCAGGGAGAGATCTCCATGGATAGGGTAAGGTGAGGAGAAGAGCAGAGCCAGCAGCTCTCTCCCTGGTGTTTCTCCTGGGGAACTCCCTGCTGAATCAGTTCTCTACTAGGGGTACTGGAGTGGAAGGAAGAGATGGCACAGGGGGTCTTTGGATTATAATTTTGCTGAAATCTTTTCTCATTTCTTACTTCCCCTTCTCTGGCCTCATTATAGTGAGAATGCAGCCCTGTTGAGGTTGCTGAGGGGTAGGTGAGGGTTACCAGGGGCCAGGCACTGTGTTAGATACATTATCTCATCACACAGTTGTCTCTTAGCNTCTTTGGATTATAATTTTGCTGAAATCTTTTCTCATTTCTTACTTCCCCTTCTCTGGCCTCATTATAGTGAGAATGCAGCCCTGTTGAGGTTGCTGAGGGGTAGGTGAGGGTTACCAGGGGCCAGGCACTGTGTTAGATACATTATCTCATCACAGAACTCCCCTTCCTGCTCAAATCCAGGAGAAGCAGAAGCCCTGGGGAACTTGGGACTGGGAAGTAATGGATTGTTTAATTGTCATCAGATCTGCATTAATATGCAGCTTGGTCTCTCTCCCTCTTTTGGCTCAGGGAGGTAGAACAATGGTGGCCTTGGAGATCAGGCCAAGGAAGCAACATTATGGAGATAAGTGAGAGCAGAGACATCATGGAAAAAAAGGCTTGAGGGGTTAAAATTCTTTTTTTGGCATGTTTCCTGACTCTTGCTAAGCTCCAGCCCCCACTGCTTTTGCCTCTTAATGAAAGCAGCAATCTTAGCTTCCTCCTCTTTATTTTTTCAATCAAGGCTCACTGCATCTGCAGAATTGATTATGCCCTTCCTGGCTGGAGCCAGAGCCTCAGCTTGACCTGGCAGTCTCCTCCTTGCCACGGAAGCACGTGGCCCTACCTGAAGCTACTGGCTTCAGTGTGACCCCAGCTTCTCTGTTGGAGCACAGGTTTGCCCAGCCATCCAGCTATGCATTTAGAGCTACTGGACCCCAGGGCTTGCCCACATCCCCCAGCCCATGGGCAGAGGATTACTGGAGGCTGGGCAAAATCCTTGCATTATAATTTAAATTTAGCTCCTACCCCAAACTCTCCACCTCCAAGTGGCCCTGAAGTCTAAATGGCTCAGTACCTCCTGTCCTCTTTTTCCTTCCTCTCTTGTCTTCTTTCTATACACTTCTTCCTCACTATCCCCCCCTTTCTCTTTTTTCTTCCTTCTCTCTTCCACTTTTCTTCCTTCCCCTCACACAATTTCTCCCATGTCATCTTCTTTCTATGCTTTGCTTCTACTTAAGCTGCATAAGGAAGTCCCCCCTCTCTACTCCCATCCTCTCACCATAAAATAAATCTTGGGTCATCTTTTGAGCTCTCATACAGACTGGAGGCTGGAGTTTGGTTATAAGATCATTGGATGTGCTTTTACCCTGTTATCTTAGGTGCTGGTTGGAGTAGATGTCTCTGCTTGGAGGTGTAGCTCATGACTGGCCCACCCTGGGAGCTAATAAAAGAGTATGAAAGTCTGTCAGTCAGTCAACTTTATTGTATCAGCTGTCCAGCCCATTCAAAACCCTGCACTCTGTGCTGTGGAAGGAGGAAATAGCAAACAGTTCTGGTTCAACATATAGGAGACACATATCTGGAAACATATAAACAAATGTAAGCAGACTGCAGCTGCCTAAAGCTACCCTCTATCAGAACAGAATGGTGAAAGGGGTGAGCATACAAATCACATTCAGAGCCCAAAGAGAAAGTTTTCTTGGTTGGAGTCAAGAGTTTATGTCAGGAAGAGCAAGAGTTAAGGATAGCTGGATAAAGGACAGAGCCCAGAAGATTCAATGCATGGAGATACCTGCATTGCATGTGCATATCATCGCATCCTCTGATGGTATAGTCCCCACTCCCTTCATCCCCTCCTGCCAGGCAAAACCCTATCCACAGGGTGAGGAGAGCCCGAGGATGCAAGGTCCTTGTCGGTCTCATGCCTAGAAGGCCTGGTTGCTGAGGAAACATTATGGACAATGCTCACCAACCTGCCTATTTTCCTTCTCGTCCTCTATCCATGTCAAGGAGAGGACTTCTAGCTGGTAAGCTCAGAAACGGGGCCAGAATGAAGGCTCACTGAGAGGAGAGCGTGCGTGTCTTTTTGTTCACCTGGAAGCTGTCATGGAGTGGGCACTTGTAAAGATTTGCTGTCTCCTCCTTTCCAATGGCTCAGACTGCTGCTCTTCTCTCCCATTCATCCCAAAAGAACACAATTCAAGAAAACACATCACCCCTGCCTTCTGGGAAATGCCCATGGCCTTCCTCCTCCCACCCACCCCCTTTGACTTGCTTCACCACTGCTCTTTCCTTCCTTATTCCTGAGCCCTTCCTAGACCCACACAGTCAACACTGTAGGGCCTCACAAAGGCATTCGAG